CTGCCATGAGGTTTACAAGAACTCAAAACAGACCTTCAAGACTAAATGGGTGCTTTCATATGCTATTAAATTCTGTCGTGCGGAACTATATCAAATAGGTTTCGGACCCCATATTTTCACTCTTATGACGTGATTTACCAATCAATACCATGCCGCCTATTTGTAGCTAAGTTTTTGACAATTATGTAATGAACCCGTTTGAGCCGAACGAAGGGGTCATCTTTTCTCCAATCTTCAAATAATGTTGCAAACATCATCAATCACAACTCTCTTCTTTCGTTAATAGGATTGATTGATCCCCTCTTCTTGGACGGTAGAGTAACCATAAAGGAATAATTTTATTTCGCTTCAAACTTCACACACGGTTTTAGCGTTGTCATTTCGGTGACAAGATGTCCATTTTGAAGGATAATCCTAGTCTGAACCTGAGGTACGGACTGTCGGAAATTTCCGGGAAGGAGTAGTTTGTCCTGAAAGTAAAAGTTTCAGAGCTATGTTGCCCCGCTGGCCATACGAGTTGAAATGTATAAAACTATTCTAAAACCATCACTTATATTCGTTTTATAAAAATTGCATCGTGGTTGTATTTCAACTTTAATGCGTTAAAACAGTGGACTATGTCAAGAGAATCAAGTTTTCCTTCGAAGATGATGTTTTTGTTTGGTGTAATTTTCCTTGACTTTGGGTCCCTGATTGTCAGGAGATAATTCGTATCTCTTTAGCTCAAACTATCATGATATTTGTTATGAAAATAAATATCTTGGGCAGTCTGTAAAGGTTCTGCAGCTTAGGCGTGTCATACCTTCGGGTATTGTTATTTCAACATATCTCATATATCTAGAAAACATATGCACCCTTTCGAAGCTCGTATACAATAAACAGGATCTAAGGTGAATAAAATGTAAAATTATCAAAATCAAGAAACAAGTTGAAGAGTAAGGATTTATATATTGATCAATGATCAGAATTATTGAATAAAGTAATTTGTTCGAAAAACCCTACTTTTACCAGTTCTCTAAATTTGAGAGTTTTAAATAATTTAAATCAATTTTGTCATTACCAATCATTTTGGTCTACCTATATTGCTAGTTTGGTCTGTTAGGGCGTGTTTAGGATTAGTTGAGATTAGGAATAGTTGATAATTTTGTATTAATCAAGCTTTATATAGAATATAAACACTATCTTTTTCTCAAAAATCAACATACAAATAAGAACTATGCAAAAAGCATATACACATTTCAGATATCATCTTTCTACGAAAGTTGGCACGTAAATAATGTATATAATAGGCATCAAATCCTATATTAAATCAGCTACAGAGAAAAAAAATAACAATACAATAAACAAGCATACATATATTTGTAGGGTTCCAATCTTCGTCATTGGACAGGTGGAAAAAAAGGAAGACTAAATGTTGGGTTCACCGAGCTTTCGGCACCTTAGAGCCATCATCAGACATAAAAAAATCTTGGTGACCTGTCTTTTAAATACATGTTTTCCCCTAGGTCGGTGTCGATAGCTTTGTATGAGAATGAAAACATGTCCTCCCAATGATGCCCTGTCTGAACTCTAGTTTTATATCTTCTAGCTATATATGTGCCATTTTTTCTTGATATTATTTCATGATATCATATCCCATTTTTACACATTTGGCAATTAACGTACCAAAATATTTTTTGTGATTATCTCTTTTATTTTCTTCCTAAGACTCAAGCTTTGTATAATTGTAGCAAGTAAAAAGGCAACGTGGTCTGAAAACAAGACTCTAGTCAACCAATTTTGTGGTTCCAGTGATCTTAATTTATAAAACCCAATCTTTCTCCTCAAATATTTCCCAATTTAAGATCGTTTTTAATGTGTGGTGATTAGTGACAGTTAATCGATAATTATTCAGAAATCATGAGATGCGGTCTGGTGTGATGGAGGCTTCAGAAAAACATTTTCTTTGTCGTTTCGATCTTTATTGAGATCATCTTCAGGGCCTGGGATTTACAAACATTGTTTACATTTAACAAAAACATGTAGAAAAAAGTGTATTTATAAAATGCAAAATATATTTTTTATATTCAATCAAAGTAGAAAATGTTTTTCTGAAACCTACATCACACCAGACCGCATCTCACGATTTCTGAATAATTATCGTTTTTAATATTTCATTCACAAAGCATGATATTTTCGCGTCCAATATATATTTTCACCTCATATTTCTTTTTCAAGTAAGAACTACCAGTTAGTTCTTCTCTATATTTGGAAAGTGCTAAAAAACAGATTATACGTTGAAAATTACATTTTCTGTTGTTCAAAATCCTCAAAAGGCTCCTTTTAAAACGCTAGATTCACATACAATTGTTTTTGACATCATTTTTTCCACTCCAGAGAACAAAGTGTTTGGTTCCTGGTTGAGGCCCCAGGCTTTTTGTCTGGCACCCAGTCATCTTTTCCAAGCTTAAACCCTTCCTACCCACTCCTTATTACCTTATCCTGGAATCCTATTTAATTGAACGCTGCTTCAGAGTGACGTGCGTATTTCGACTACTCGGATATCAGTTCAATAAAATTCTTGGACCCTTTCTTTATAATTCTGATTTTCCTATACATCCTAACAACATCATTACCAGATGACGTTGAAATTTTCTATCCTATCCAAGAATCGGCTCAATACTCCAATGCCCTTGAATACTTCGAGTTTATCAAAATGGGTACAAATAATATAGAGTAAGACTGAATATGGAAAAATATGCCCAGTGAATCCAAACCAGTGAGGATATGCAAATAAATATTTCTCTAACGACCAAATTACATATATATTATGTCAAGAGAAATCTTAATAAATATTGTATTTTTATAGAATATCTAATATTCTTCAGGTTGAATCACTGTATACAAATTTTGTTTAGAACTTCCTTTTTTAAACGAAATCTTTCTTTATTGAATTTTACTGAGTTCAATCGTACATAACCACATTATAAATCTGTTTTTGAAGTTTTTATTTGTACTCCAAAAACATTTTAACTACACGTAAACTTCAACGCACTAATCACGGACTCATCTAAACAACTCCACTTCCGTATCAGTGTTACCCGCAGTGTTGCCCAAACTTGGAATGTAGAGCAAGTTTTGCAAAAACTACCTTCACAATCAGATCCCAAATCATATAATCAGATTTTATTCAAAATATTTTAACAAAATTAAAGCTGGTTGCCATAAAATAGGACATTTCTTCTAGGTGTCTCATAACACCAATTTTCGTGACACTAACTTTTTCATCTCGAACAAGACCTTACATAAAAAGAACAATTAATTTAAAGAAGTAATTTGGCCAATTAGACCACTAAACATAACTCGATTAACAAGACTAAAGTTGAATTTGTAATTTGGTCGTTGCCGTTCATTTCGGTCTGTCAGACGCGTCAGCAGCGACGCAAATCAAAATGATCAGTATCGAACAAACTTCTAGTACCTCGCAGACCACGTAGAGAAACCTCACAATTTCAAGTTGAATTATTGTAAAAAAATCTGTTAAATCATTAAACTTACAAATATTATATATAGTTTGGAAAAATGGGAGAATGAGCTGTTTTCAGAGGACATTGTAAAAATACCTAATTCGCGTATTAATTATCTCTTCAAAACATATGTTCCTTCAATGTCCCCCAGTTGTATTTTTTAATCCCAAAAGTGCGATTTCACAAACAGAGAGACCTCGTGCAAAATATATTGTCAAATAAAAATTACATAAAAATATTTTTCCATGGAATAAAATATATAATAGATTGCGAACAACTTTGCACGGTATACGACATATATGTCCTGGAGATTTTCATTCATATTTTCCTGCATTCTTCTCTCTACGCAAATCTTAGGGAGAACTTAATTTGAAAAACCTCTTGTTAAGATGTCAACCAATGAAATGTTACGTTTTCTTTCAGATATTATCTTTGGTAACCGAGCTGTTGTAAGTTTAAGATATTTAAGATAATTTTTCTTTTTTCAATAATGTGTTAAGATTAAATCCTTTTATATTGACCTTAATTATTCTTTGTGTGGTGTGTGTGTGTGTGTGTGTGTGTGTGTGTGTGTGTGTGTGTGTGTGTGTGTGTGTGTGTGTGTGTGTATTATAGTGTGTGTGGAAAAAAAGCAGACAGATAGGTAGAAAGAGATATGTAGATAAGAAGAGATAGATAAATAATTTGTGTGGTGTGTGTGTGTGTGTGTGTGTGTGTGTGTGTGTGTGTGTGTGTGTGTGTGTGTGTGTGTGTGTGTGTGTGTGTGTGCGTGCGTGCGTGTGCGTGTGGTTTAGTGACCGTTAATTAATGATTATTTGGAGATCGTGAGATGTGACTTTGGTTTAGAATCCAGCATCTCACGATCTCCAAATAATCATTCTTTTTATGAAAGGTCTTGGTTGAGATGAAAAAGTAAGTGTCACGAGCGGGATTCGAACCCACGCCCTTCGGCTAGCTAACCTTTTCACCTCAACCAAGACCTTACATAAAAAGAATAATTAATTCAATTAAGTAATTTGGTCTATTAGACCACTAAACACAAATGGATTAATATTTTCTAAATTTGTCCAAAATATCTAACATAATACTACAAATAGTTGATACCTTTTTACGTAGAATTTTAATGTTAATTTTTCTAGTACGATGACGTAAATGATCTGATCACTTAGTTACGTTATGGGAAATGAATTTTTCGATCTAATAGTGAAAATATTTTGAAAAAAATTGAAACAAGAAGGAAAAATATTTTAATTATTTACCACCATCTAAACACAAAAGAAAATTCTATTTAATAACTGTTATTATTGTCTGATTGACTGTACGTATGTTTTTATCGATTGATTGTTATAAAAGAAATTACCTTGTGTGGATAAAAGGACTTTCTTCGCTCTTGACTTTGTTTGAGTAAGAAATTTCAACCAGTACTTCTACGTTCTATGTTGTAAATAATAAATAACTGCTTGGATGGGATCAGGACAAAATAAAACTAGTAAATACGTCAATGTACACAATTTATTAATATACTTCCATATAATACATTTTTACTTACATCTATTTTTGAAGCATCAAATAACAGACTTAGAAACTATATACACATTACTCTATACACAAGTCAGCAAATTACTTCACTAAGCCCTGCCTCTTAATTTTTTAAAAATATTATGTTTCATAATAAAAAGAAAATTATAATTCTTGCAACCAATTTATAAAAGTGTGTTATAAACAAATTATAAATTAAATAAGCAATCAGTGTGTAATTAATTTTTCAGTTCAGGTAATGAAAAAAATATTCTTCTAGAAATCAAACTAATATGTCACATTTGAAATAAAACATCAAAGATTAGGCGGGACTACGACTAACGCCTGAATTTATAGTCGTAGTGCTATCAGGCGACAACAAAACAAAATTAATAAAAATGGGGAAAAAAAGAAAAATAAACTTATAAAACGAATTAACAACACTGTTTTCCTTTTAATTGGTAAAGAAACAGCCATTCACAATTATGGCACATTGCATCACATTTAATAATTGAGTCAGACATTATTTTTTCTTCTTTTTTTCAAATAGAAGCTGTGAGATGCCTAAACCCAAAAAAACACTTTCAAGAATTCTTTTGTGCATTTCGTACAACCTCAAAAATGTCTGCAAAAATACATTCAAGTACAATAAACACGCCACCAAAGCCATAATCTGATAAATTCAAAAACCTCTTTATTTATTTTCGTTTGTTTAAATTTGATTTAATTATTAAATATAAAAAAACGTTTAATGTGAGAATGAAGAAATGTTTCAAATACATCAGACAATGACTTACTTGATATCAAAACGTTTTAAGCTTGATTTACACATCTTCTTTTTTTTTAAATAAATAACGTAGATTTTTATGCTTGGAAAAATGCACCAAATTTTAGAAATGCACCACACTTAATAAGTTTTTAGAAGTACCATGCCATTACAAATAACACATTTAAGATTATAATTTTAAAATTGTTTTCATTGTGTTACTCAAAATTACAACCATACATTTACTTATTTCATAAATTTGGATCGTTCAATTTGCCGAATTAATTCTTTATATATTGCCAACTGTAATAAATAACCATACTTTTAGATAAACAGAATTAATGAAAGTGCGACATTTATATTTTATTTTATTTTATTTTTTTTTTTTTTGTAAGTTCATTTATTTTAAAATGTCAATCGGCGATAATTTGACTACTGCTATTATCGAAATAAGGCACAGATAATGTAATTCTCAACCGGTCTGAAATATAATTCATTTAATTTTAAGAAGAATTGTTATAAAAAACTTATTTTATTCATATACTTTTCTTCTGGAACCCAGTAAAGCGAGTGTGAACATTTTTCAAAATGGTCACACATAAATTGAGCATTGTTCTGTACACATTATAATATTCGAACATTTAATTATTTACTTTTTAAATAACAAAATATTCTTTATTTTTTTTAGTTTTTTTTATTTCTCTCTGAGGGGTAAAGTAATTGAGATAATCGCTACAAAATAACATTTTAAAATCAATAAAAACAGGATTAAGTTAAAGATTAAGTACAGCGTATTTAATAAACAGTTTTAAAGTACATACGCGCGAATATCGCTTCCAGCGAAACTACGGGCTGTAAAATAAAATTTAACAAGGTCAGGGTACTAATATGAAATCAACAAAATTAACATTATTGGCACTTGCATTATTATATTCACTACTTACACCTAACCAATTTTCGCCTATAATTTTTTTTACGGAATAGGAGCAGCAGTATCACTACTAGAATGCTATCTCGGCAATTTTTTTTTTAATTTTAATATTTTTGTTTTACTTTCATCTATATCAATCTTTAAATTTAACTATCACCACCTAACCGCCCACGTGAACGGTATACGAATAACATTCGACTGAGAAAAGATCACAATGTGCTTTTCAAATATACGTATTTTACAAATAAATATAATTCCAAAATTCAACGTTAATTAAACATTTTCCTTTGAAAAGCGATTTCACCGCCTTCTTCCGAACTATTTTCTACCCTAAACACAATTCATTTACTATGTGTTAACATTCAACTAAATGTTCCTAGTAGAAATTGTCACATAACACATTGATCTAATGTTAATTCTACTAGGAAATTGTTCTTTACATCCAAATCTAAATTACATTGACCTAAAGCAATAAAATATAATATTAATCAAAACTATATTCACATCCCGGCCGTATAAGCATTCATTTATAACTTGTGTTTTTTCCAATTTTAATTGAATCAAATTAATATTATACTTCCCCAAAACGTCACCTAAATTACAATATAATTAATTTGTACAAACATTTCTGATAACTATATTTACAGAACTAAAATGTTTTTAAACAAAACTAAAAAAAATATATATATACTTACAAAATTAAATTTAAAAAGTTTGAGCTTTATTTTAGTATAGTAAAAATAAAATCATAATGTATCAACAAAGTAGGCAACATAATATTATTTTGTTTTTGAAAGGACAACAAATGGCTATTCGGACTAATAAAATAATATTTTTTCAACGATAATTGTATACCCAATCAATTCCCGCATAGGTAACTATCATTACATTTTCAGTTTATAAAACGGTTCAAAATAAATGGAACTGAGGAAAATAAATAACTTTCAATTTATCTCCTTCTAGAATAAAAGAATATCCACCACTGAATAGATGTAATAGGTTTCATTTTTATCAAAATAATTGACGATATTAATAGTAGAGATTATTGGTACTTACGGTAATTGTTATATTGGCACATAAGTTATCAGTATTGTTGATGGCAATTGACGAATAGCTGTTTTAAATATTTTCTTATAATTTTTAAACTTGTACAAAATCAACAATTGACCAACCTTTTCTTTGTAATAAATGATAATTACTTTTGTAGATAACATCCATACTCATACAAAAATTTGCTACATTTTATATGTATTCAACAGAAGACCTTACACATGAACTAATAACGTTAAATAATTGAGGATCCTTCGTTGTCCTAAGGTGTCTGAAGGAGGTTGAACGGCACACCCAGAAATTTGCTCACGTCCTGACAACTCTGGAAAAAAAACTCATTTGAAATAAAATGCTAATGAAGTGTTATAACATAAATAACATATTCTTGCGGACAACCATGGCTATCAATCAATATAAACATTTTAATGCTACAAACAGTTTTAAACTTTTATGCTTTAATAAAAAAAAACCTCACAGAAGCGTTCATTGAACAATTTGTTCGAGTTAAATAAAACCATGGGAAATAGGAAATTTTATAAAAAAAAAAATTAGAGCGGGTTTTACATTTTAACATAAAATCGCTGTAGGAAGATTACAGACACGCATTCCATTGAGGAGAAATAAATGTTCTATTTCTGGTTGAAAGTATTCCAAGGTAACAATGGACTTCAAACGCCTTAAATTTAAAATATTCCAAGTGATGAATTTTTATTTAAGACCGAAGAATAATTTTACCTCTTCATATTTCGAGTAAGATTAGGGGGTTATCAGCAGCAATTATTAACCGATTTTGTCATCGCTATCTGTTATGTAAGTGGGATTTCTTGCCGTACATATTTTTCTCATTTCGGAAGAACATATATAGAGAATTCAAACGGACCTTTTTTTCCCGTTATTTCGCTTTAGACACAATTGTATTTTAACGTGGGAGGTAGTCAAACAGATTCGGTTGGAATACACGGAATATCTAATTATCTAAACATAAAAAATATATTCCTACACTACCACTAAATTCTGTTTTGCCTGGCACTAGGATTGATCAAAAATCAAATCAAATCAAAACAAGATAGTGTTATTACACAAAAAAAACCATGTTTCACGAAATTGCACGAAGTTATTTAATTGTAGTTTTAAAGCCAGAAATAGGTTATTTTTTATAAATTTTTTACAACAATTTTATGACTATCCTGGAAAACATTCAAACTTCAATGCTGTCTTATAATGTACAAATTTTTATGTAAATTTTTTTTCGTTAAGTTACGAAACAATTAAAATTCAGCAGGTCTATGAAAATTGAGCTATTTTTCCAAAACTAATATACTATAAGAGAAGATGGTTAGGGATGGTTTATGTTTAAAAAAAGGTATAATGCTTCTTGAACCAAATGAAACAGTAGACAATATTGCTAGTGACAACAGATTTCTATTTAGTCAATGAGATATTGTCTTTTTTGAAAGCAAAAAAAATGTTATTTTGTTTTTCAGTGTTCTGAACATAGACTAATAAATATAAAATAGATTTAATAACGTATAATATAAATTTAATCCTTTAGAAAACAAAAGGAGTGGTGTCTGGGAAAAGTTGGTGGAGAAATGGGCTGCGATATTAGGCAGGATTGGTTATTGTCTCATGCATACATTATAATGCAAATGTATTAACTCAAACCAAATATTAAAAAAAAGTCCAAACTCCCAAAAAATAAAATCAATTGGAATGGCACAAGTATAATTTTATTATATTTATATTTCTGTTGATCCAATTTTAATTTCAATTTAAAAAAAACCTAACTGCAGATAAAGGGACTATAAAAAATGATATCTGAGTATAGAAGATAGTTCCTAGAATTGTCCTAACAAGCGAGACTACGCGGGCCGGTATTTTGATAACCGTCCACTCCAGCCAGCAGGTTCCAATATATTCTATTTATTGTGAGATTTCTCCGTGTGCCTGCAGATGAATCTGAAATTGACTGAATGATAGAATCTTGGCAACAAAAACGTTCTATGATATGAAAAGAAAAAAATTTAAGAGTTGTCTTATTTTCCGTAGTATCTTGATAATGTTTTTCTGACCATACAAAATAATAAAACAACTATTTACTATAAAATGTACATTTAATCGATTAAAAATAAAATAAATAGAATGAAAAAGCGAAAATAAATAAGTTGTGATTTCGGAGCGTAAATTAAAGGAAACATCTTAGAAATACTATTAACCTATCATAACAAGACTAGGCAGACCAAGATTTTTTAAAGACCATGTCGAACAAAAAGGATACAATATATTTTATCTGTATCAAGATTATGGTAGAAAATAAATTCGAGTAGCAAAACGTAATTTTATTATTTTAGATAGTTTTGTTAAATATATATTCTTTGATTGGGAACAAACACTAAAATTTAATCAGATGATCATATTATTATCTAACAAACAATGACATGGTAGTCTAAATGATACAATTTTGAGTAACAATACTGTTTCATGGAAGAATAAGTTTTTTTTAGTGTTGTCTTGTAAAACACCAAAGAATTGAAATAATTATATTAATCGATAAAAAATTGAAAAATACTACAAAAGAAGAAATAAAAAAGTGGTGATTTCTGAGTGTGAAATAAAGCAAACATCCTAAGACAAATACAACTCAATAAAAGTGGACTGGGAAATTTTAACAAACTTGGTCATTCCAGCTTGAATTTTTTTTTTTTTTTTTTTTTTGCCAACAATATTTTTATTTTATTATCGTGAAATTCCAGCTTGGGGAATTTGCTTACTGAAAATTATCAAAAAAATATATTCATTCGATAAAGTTTTAATTATTTTTTTAGTCAGATTTTGCTGAGAAAAATTAACACTAAAGGACAATATTTTCGTGGAACTTCTTTTTTACAATGTTGTTAGTAAATTTTTTAAAGACTTTCTTTTCATATAAAGCATTAAGTTCAATATTAAATATACATTTAATTGATTATAAGTCTGAATTTTGGGGTAAGGAAAGAGACGATGAGAGTCTAGAAGATATCAAAGTTCAGAGAAAGGCTGCTGATTGAACCTGCAGCGTGAATAGGCGGACGATGACAAAAATAAAACTTGTTCAATCGAGTTTGTTATATTTCTACTCATACCTAGTTGGATAAAGTCAAAAAATCCCAAAAATAGAGTTGATTGCAACTCAGAATGCAATATTATTTTGGCCAATTTCGGCAATTCATTTCAAATACTTTTACAGTTCTATTTGCAATGTTTGTCCAAGACAATAAATTTCTAAGAAATGAGTTAAGCAAACAGATACTCGCAATATACACCTTAAAAGCAATAGGTATATTGGGTTAATTTCGATTGTCCGAGTTAATTTTCCAAATTTTGGGCAATTTGGGACCCCCGTGGGCGAGAGCATTTACGCAATTACCTGAGCTTTCGGCAACTAACATTATTATGTAAATTATTTGCCGGCAAGACATAATCCGGGTGGTATTTAAACGATGGGACTGCGGGCGTTCCCCTTATTCTAACAATAGCATTAGATAGGCTCATTAATAAACCCCTGATTATTGGCACAACTCGTGCCTTCTATTTATATGGTTACTGCGCTGTACGATTTTACGTCTCTTTAATATAACATCCTTTTTAATACAATGGTGATATCTTTTTCGATAACGAGTGTAATTATTAAACGGCAAATGTATTGAATTTGCAGGTATTGCAACCGATTCGAAACTCCTAAAGGTATCACAGCCCTCAAGGACGTCAGACCTCGGATAAATGCGAGTGTTGGTGTGCATTGTACAAAACGGAGAATTGAGGGCTTTCCTTTGTCACGGAATGACGTAGGGTATCAAAATACTAAGTTGAGCCCTTAAATTTGGCATCATTATATCGTGATTTTATCACCACTCGCTACAATTGGACCCAGATCTGTAGTTAATTTCAATGAGACAAGTGTAATAAAGATTATAATATTTATCTATAAGGAATAAAAATGACATTTGTAATTATTGCACAACACTCTTTACATAAATAAACACGAGACGAATGATACACATAAACTTTTCAAGGCGAAAAATCGTTTGCCGAGTCTGTACGACAGTAATAAATAACATTAAAGAGCCGGGCTTTACCTAGGCGGCTGTCAAAAATTACTTAGTCCGTTGGGGCGGAAACCACTATTAAGTTAGTGGAGGGTAGGATTTATGTGAGGTTTTATTGTGAGGACCCCAAGTTATAATAGCGTATAGCGTTTTAGCGGTGCGTGGAAGGGGGCGGAGAGAGAGTGGAGGACGAAGGAAGGATTAGGCCAACCCATGTCCAACAGGGAAATCTTTCCAAGAAATCACCTTTTCCTCGAGGCTTACACTTTTCCCTTTTAGGACGGAAGTTAAGGCTAAGGAGGAAAAATGTACAAGAAGATTTAAAAAAGGAAATGTCGGCGAAGTTAACTGGCGATCTCAAATGTCCATGATTTTAGGTAAGATTGGAAAAAACTGCTTCGACGTAAATTAATTTAATTATTAAATAAATAATTAAAATTTACTCTAAAAAAAAAGATCAGTCATTTAAACCAGTTTCAAATAAAAAATCGAATAAACTTTTTTCTTTAATAATTACGAACAGTAACGCAAGAACATGCTGTAACACAATAGTGAACAACAACAGATTGGATTTTTTTGTGATAAAACAGTAACAAAAAGCATGTGATTTCAATTTAGCTGATCCGCCTTTCCTCGCTACGCGTCTGGACACCGATCTGATAGTCTTTTCAATTTCAAAACCTTGTTACGAATTTAATTATTATTGAAAGTCTGCTGATATACACACAGATATGTTTAGGAAATTTGTTAAAAAATTTAAATTTACACTGAAACTGGCGTGAAGCCGAAGCGCGTCTGATATACCAAAACAGCATGAATATGCATGCAGACCAAAATGACCGGAAACTATTTAACTAAAGTACCTACAAAATTACTATTTTTTATTTCATTTTTATTTTAAAAACAATGTCTTGTAATGTAATTAATATAATAAATCGGTGATCAATTGTTTTAATTAATTAATTAATTTTTTATTTTTATTTTATTTTTAATGCGGGTCCGCAACAGCAGAGGTTATATCAACCCTCGGGGTGCCGGTGTTTTTGAAAAAAAAGCCCATTTGTAAGTATGTCGGGTTCGAATGCAGGGCCGCTGGATTCGAACCCGGGACCTTTACCTTACAGTGATGAGCGCCGTGTCAACGCCTAAACCGTTGCGGCCATCGACGCCCCTTCTTTATTGATCTTAATTGGTTATTAATTGGTCTTTATTAATTATTAATTTGTTATTAAATTTT